ATAGATAGATAGATAGATAGATAGATAGATAGATAGATAGATAGATAGATAGATAGATAGATAGATAGATAGATAGATAGATAGATAGATATAACAACCATATAATCATACTTTACAGGCTGCACATGGTGACCTGGAATGTGGCTACAGCAGAACCTCCTGAGGATGTTACTGCATTGCTGCAGCTAAATGATCAGTCTCCCATCGATCTCTATGTGATTGGGTAACAAATACAAGATTTCTTTGTTTAGCAGAATTAATGACTCAGTCTTACTGTTTGCTTTTCATTTTTACTGCTATGATTTAGCTTGCAGGAGGTTATGGCGACACCTATGAGATTCATCTCAGACCTGCTGGTGGAAGATTCCTGGAGCCATCTTTTCATGGACACACTGGGACCCAAAGGCTTTGTTAAGGTATAAATAAGGACCATTGAACTGTAGCAATAGATGCCTGTAAATAAAAATGTTCATTTATTTTAAGATTTTATGACTCTTTTCTACCTGAGTCTTCAATGTTGAGTGCATGTCGAGGTGCTTTCAGTAACAATTTTAAAATATATAGAACTTTATTTTGTACGTGTTATAAATGATTTAAACTGACTTTTTATGCTTAAAAGAAATAAGGAAAGACTGGAGATAACCCAAAACAAACAAAACCAATAACACCACTGTAAAACATGGTATTGGCAGCATTATGCTGTGGGGTGTTTTTCTTCAGCTGATGCAGGAAAGTGCAGCACAGATCCAAATATTCTAAGAACTTACTGCACATCATTGTTCAGTTTCCAACCAAGCAAAGTCTGTAGAGATTACAGTAAATTTTCAACTATTTTATACACCCCTATAACTCCAAAATTAGCAAAAGAGGAATACATCACAGGAATGCATAAATAATGAAATAATTATGTTTCCATCTGTGTTTAGGTCACTTCTGTGAGGATGCAGGGCTTGCTTCTGTTGGTTTTTGCCAAAATGGTGCATCTCCCTTTCATCAGAAACATCCAGACCACCTACACCCGTACTGGCATCTTTGGCTACTGGGTATGGCATTAGTAAGAGGCCCTGATTAACCCTAAACGTTGTAGAGATCAACTCTAATCAGCGTTGGTATTCCAGAGACAAATAATAGGCCTTTTGTGTTTGTGAAGTGAAAGTATTGCAGCTTGGGAAACATCAGAGAACACTAACATTTAACAAACACATGCATATTCAATT